TTACTGGGCGTTTCGAGCCGACAGCAAAACTAGCAAGATTCCAAAGTGAAATTCCGGAGGAAATTTAAAGAGCATCCGGATCCGGAGAAAGAAAGAAAGAGGAAGGGAGAAATAAATCAAAACGTGGAGAGAATCTCAGGCAGCCGAAGAAAGGACGGGAGAGAAAGAAGCTGACACCCAGGCAGAGATGGGGTGAGACTGGCAGTTTATTATTCTTGAATTGCTTTTATTATTCGTGGCCGCTGAGCTATTTTAAGGTAATGGCAAAAGAAAGGAAGGTTTTAAATTGCATTTTTTTCCACATTGCAAGCTTTACAGTTTAGACTTGCCATTTATTTTATGCGTTAGAAAGTAGGTAATTGCAAGTGTCTGCAACTTCTTTAAATAAACTCGTACGTAAGGGAAGCCTCTAGTGATCTATATGTTGTATGAAATCCAAACTGGGAGGCTGGGCGGGAGGACTGGAACTGGGTTGTGTTCACAAACTTTTCCAGAAGTTAGAAATTAGGGATTTTGTTTGGCTGTTGTGACTTTGGCATTCAGTAAAATGGATCCTGTTTGCATTTCTAAATGGATAAATAGCTGATTGAAAATCCCCTGATGACTTAGTTTATGATCCGCCTCAGATTTTCCCAGAGTGAAATAATGCCGCATGGATGTGGCAGTGGATTTTGGCATGGAAATAGGAGCTTAGTCTGGTATTTAGTTTATGTGCTAGTTATAAGTCTCAATCGTGTAACTTTAAGGATCTGATGTGTTGTTGTGAGTTTCTTGTGCAATAAACTCTTTGTGGCTGTGTAAAATCACAGTGGATCTGTAGGAAGGCTGTCTGATCAACTCCCTCCAAACATGTGGGCTTGACAATGCAAGAGAAATAAATAACATTCTTTGGGGCTTGTTTTGCATTTGCTAATTTTCCTCTTGGACTACCTAGATAAAATGATTGAACAGTCAAACACAGATTCAAGAGGCAGAAAAGGTAGAGGCAAAGAATCAAAAGTGACAGCAGCGTGAATCTGGCACTGATCCTTTGAAGTTGGCTGAGTGTGTGCTGATCCAGGTTAAATCAGAAAGTGTCCCTATTTTCCTGTAACTTTTCCTGCGATCCACAAAGTTACTGTAAAACTTGTAGAACTGCCAGGAAGGGTTTAACAAGCAAATGGCTTGGGACTAGCACTTATTAGAGTTAGCGGATGAAGCCTTCTTGGACCTACCACAGGTACACCCAGGAGCTATGTGATCTCTTTAGAGGGTTGCCAGCTCCCGTGGAAAATGTTGAGGTAGTGTCACCATCCCAGTCTGCTTAGACTTCACTGTGTAATTATAGTGATGTAGTAGCAAAACTATTGTTAAGCCAGAGATGACATTTCCACCCAAAATTCCTTATTTCCACTTAATTCCTGAGATAAAAGTGTCTTTTTGCTTGTACATTGATCACTGATTTTGAGTAGCTCTCAGCAGCATTTAGATTACTCTGGATACAAAAGAGGTTAAAAGCACATCACCTCTTACATCACACTCTGGCAGTTGATTTTAGTTAACTTATTTTTCAAGCAGGGATTCTGGTCTCATTCCTCCATATTAGATTTCTTTGTAACATCATGTTCTGGTTTTCATGGATAAATTCTCCGTGGACTTTTCTGTATCCACTGTGCTGTAGGTATTAATGCATTAGTGCTTCCTCTCTGAAGAGGACAGTTGTAAATCACACTTGATCCTGAGGGAAGTGAATTTAGTTAAGTCCTAGCTGAGTCTTCAGTGGACACTTAACATTTCTCTGACTCTCTGCTGATAGCATTGTCAAATGTAAGTACAGGTAGATGCAACTTACAGCTTCTAATTTGAGCAGTGTAGAGTTTACCCACTTGTCACATACATCAAACACACAAATTTACTCACTCTTACGTATACTGTCATCTCACTGACCTGCTAAACCAGGAATTTGAACTGGCCTTGTCAGAGCGGCTGCTGGTCGTGCCTTTGGAGCTCTGGCAAGGGCAGGTCGAAAATAACAGCAGATTTTGGGGACTTGTTCTAGTGAAGCTGAGCAGGCATCTGTGCCTGGAATTACTATGGGTGTTGTAGATGATAATGAAGATGCAGGGGCAGAATGTGTTGGAGACATGGAGCATTTTGAAATGTGCATATATCTCCACTTCTCTGGTTCTAATTATTACTGGACATATTTTCTGGAATGTATAAAGAATTACTTAGCTGCAGTCTGAGTCTGCTGGGGTTTTTAACTTTAATTGCTGTATAGACTTCCATCAACAGGTCTGTGTGTCTGAAAAGAAAGAGCTGCTGAAGTTTAGTAGCAGAAGTAACAGTTGTCCCAGGAAGGTGAATGCACAGATTGTGTTGTAGACACCCAGCAGCGTAGTGTTCAGCAGCCAAGAGTCTGTAGATGGAGACTGGTTTCCAAAAGAAGAAGAAAAAAAAAATCTCTCAGCTGTGTTGCGTCTTTAACTGCCCTTGATCTCCTTTTTCTGTGCCTGACCTTGCATGCTTGTTGCTGTTCCCCACGCTGATCCAACAGGAGCACATTCAGCCGGGATTCCTTTGCTGCCCTTTATCTGCAGACAGGCCGTGAGGCAGCTGCCTTTCATTCTTGTGCTAAGCCCTGCTGGGTAAGCTCTTGGGGGAGGCAGAAGGGAAAGCAGCCCCTAGCCAGCTCGCACTGCTGGAGCTGCATTACTCCACCTTCCCTTTGTGGCTGTGGGGTAGAAGTCTGGCCTCCTTCCATCCCATCTGGACACTAGCAGCATCTATGCGTTTTCCCCAAGGTGACATTATGCAGCACAGAACAAAAGCAAAGCTGCAGCTAAGAGGGCTTGAAAACCTGCCTGGTGTTTAGAACAAAGTCCTCCCAAACTTTGTTCCCAAAGCAGTTTTGCAGTTCGTTGTCCTGGGGGTTTGTGCCCAAATCTGGGGTAGGCAATATCAAAGCACGCTCTCTGCACCCATTTACAGTGCAGCAGTAGTTTCCACAGGCTCTGTGTGGAGTTACACCCCATCCCTGGCTCAGAGGAAGGGTTAGGCTTGGGGGAGAAATGCAAAGGGAAGGAGATGAGGTTTGACTCTCCTTACCCCACACTTCTTCCCCAAACAGCATTGACACACAGTCAGCAGCTATTCAAGCTGGGAGGGAAGATAAAAGGAAACAAAGCCAGACAGCAGTGGCGGAGGAGATTGCTTCTCATGCCCTCTCTGTGCTCCAGTTCTGCCTTTTGAAATACTGGGCTCTGTCTGAAACACGCTTCTCCCCCTCTGCCCTGGCCACCCCCCTCCCTCAAATTATCCCACACCATGCTGCTTCGCAGGGTTTCTCACACCCGAGTGCTCTGGCTGGTGATCCAACAGAAGGGAGAGCCCTGGCCCTGACGCAGCCAGCACGGCCTCCCAGCTGACTCAGCATGGCAGTGGGCCGAGTGCCAGAGCCGAACCACATATCTTTCGTGCTCACGTGCTCATGTACCCCTTTCTGCTCCGCACAAGCTGCCCTGTGAACTCCCATCCGGGAAACTGACCTTGCAGGGAGAAAGGACTTTTGGGAAGATAGCAGTGAGAATTGCTACGTTCCCACCACAGCAGCAGAAAAATCCTTACCTGCTGCTGTGGCTGGCAACGGGCCTTTTATCAGAACACAACTTCTTTTTTGGGGGCTTGCTCGTTGTGGCTGCATGTTGAGCCCAGCCACAGGGCACAGTGCAAAAATAGGCTCCTAGGTCTCTGCACTCTGAAGGTATCCTGCTGCTGTCAGTGGCTGAGTACCATTGTGCCTGCGGTCCACAGGAACAAATGATTCTGCTGGTCTGGTACTTTGTGGCTGAGTACCATTGTGCCTGCGGTCCACAGGAACAAATGATTCTGCTGGTCTGGTACTTTATGATTTCTTGCAAGGTGTTTTTTGGTTTGGTTTTTAGATGAAGGGGGACCACAGACTGCCTAGATGCAGAGCAAGGTATTTAAAGCGATTATCCTCTCTGTGTCCAAGTGCAGAGAAGCTCCTCTGTCTGACAAGTAAATGAATATCCCTGCAAAGAAAAGCTGCAGTGAGCGAGAGGAGGTGCAGGCTAGGGAACAGCACATGGACTTCCTAGTGATGCCCTTGACTGAACCCCATCCAGGAGCACCAAGGCAAATGCAGAAATGCAGTTAATGAGGACCGAGCTCAGCCTCCCCAGTGCATTCCAGCTGCTGCCATAAGTGGCCAAAAGACTTCATTCTAAACCTCAGACCTATTCGCTATTTGTGTCCCTGAAGTGCTTTGAACTTGGAATCGCCCACCAAATCTCTTAAAACTCTATACTTAGGTCTAGGTTTGAATCCTGCTTTTTTGTCACACACCTTGCTTTGGAACTAAAACAGGACAGAAACATTAGTATAAATTTGGAGAATGGTGACGGAAAACTTCCCTCTTCAGACCAAACGTAAGGTTTCTTCTCTCTGGTCGTGCAGCAAAGGGTGGGGGCAGGTGAGCAGGATGTGATAAGTAATTCAGTTAACTAAATGGGCATGTCACAGGCAGGCAGACAGGATTGCGAAGCGAGAATTACTGAGAACAAAAAAATAAGAGGATCTCAGTGGGAAAAGTCTTCCAGATTGCACAGAAAATCGGAGAACGAGGACAAAGCCTAAGTCAAATGCAGCTGTGCAGTTGGAAGGAGACCCCTCCCCACAACCGGTGTAGAAGCTATTGAGCAAAGACATCACTGGATCCAATAGAAGATCTAAAGCAAACAATAAAAACCTGATTTCTTCCTCTCCGTTTTGAAGAGGTCTGGCAGGAGGGCTGTGTTTTAGCAGTTGCCCTTTAGGTTTAGGAACCTGCTGGAGAGAGTGAGCCTGTAACTGTCAAACAGGATTTTCCTAAAGAGATGTGCTGTTTGCATTGGAAGCACCCTCAGAAAATAAAATTAATAAACCACGGTTTCTCTGAAGTGTGAAGACCCCAACAGGCAGCTAAAGTTGGGGTGGGGCAGAGAGAGAAGGGAGCAAGCCTGCAGCAAAATACACTGGAGCTGCCACAGTGCTATTGAAATTTAGACATAAAGATCAATGTTTTGATGAACAGCTCTTTGGAAGGTTGTCCGTCCCTTCCTTTAACCTGGGCTGTCCCTTAAAATGGGAGATGTTTCTTTAGAGGATTGCACACCATTACCTTGTGGCAGGAGGCCGGAGGTACAGTGGGG